ATCTGATCTGATCAAAATTTTAACACTTAAAGATCGACGATCAGGTGTTGCGTTCTTTTTGGGAGACGGTGTATATAGTGAGAAATCATGTATTTTTTGTTCTGTAAGCTCTTCGATAAAATCCATAAGAACAATTACAGTTTCATACTTCAAGTAATAGCTACAAAATTCTTTGATAGTCTTGAAAATTGCGTAACAAGTGATTTCTTCTTGCCGAAAAATCTTAAAATAGGATTCTTTGAGATTTAAATCTTGCCTTCACAAATAGTTGATAAGTTCTTTTATCTGATACCTTTTAATTATGTCTGCCAGTATATGAGTTGATCTTTTTTCCATCAAAGTAGAGGATGTGGAAATTGGTAAAAAAGGTGAAGAAACATTAGGTGAAGACGTATTATCGTTTTTATATTGGTACCGCGTTGCAATAAGCTAGATAATACAATCAAATTTTTATTTTTGACTGCTTATACTGTCTGTGATGGAAGTTACATGAAATGATTAGGAGACAGTTATACAAATAGGAATGGTGTAACTTTATTTTACAAAAAAAATGTCTCAAAGACAATAACTGATGCAAATAATATATCGCAATTACATGATACTTATACAGATAAAAATCTAATTCTCTTCTGATACAAGCTCTACAAGAATATAAATAACGTTACAATCAAGATTCTTACCAAAACAATCACTGATTCTACCACCTAAAACTATATTCATATATATCACAGGTCCTGAATGAAATATATAAAGCTGATAGTTTGTCTATCCAGCATAAGAGATTGAATTAGATCATAAGCATGTTGACTATTGATGCATCAGAAAAAGGAATTGTGTGAATTCGTTAAGGTAAACCATGAAATACATTAATAGGCATAAAGAGGCAGTTGAAATTAATGTTGACACCAGTAGCTTCACTAATTTACATTTCTAAATAAAAGATTCATAATGAGTATGATGTCGCTTTCATAGATATTTAAATAGATGAAACTTTTAAAATTCACGGATAGATAAGGGACTGACTTTGAATAATTCCTGCTTATTTATAACACCTTATGCTCTACTTCGAACCTGCTAGAAGAAAACCAATATTGCATCGTTCAGAGAATCAGTCGTATGATTCCAAAAATTAACGGATTTCTTACTTTGTGTAGTTAGCCCATAAATGTCAAAATTCAACAAAGAAAGAAATGCATAATCATATTACGCAATTTTGAGAGGAATGAATCCTTTTTAGGTTCGAGATTGCTTTTGCAAGACAGATCCCGACGTGATGTGATTGGTTGATAATTTTCTGGTTTAATGATTACGTATAAAGTTTCTCAATTGATGTCAGTGACAGCGGAAAAGAGGTGTATGATAAATCATACATTACGTATCAGATTCTTTTTAGAACGAAATGATAAGTTTATATAGTGAATGATACAGATTTTTGATTCGCATTCAACTATATCGTCTAGTACAAGCCTTACTACCGCAACCCAGAGGTGAGCAATTACGTATATGCAACTGTGTTTACTATCCTTTTCTTTAATCCTAAAACCACTAAATATTATTGACATACAATACTCTCTAAAATATCTTGCTTTGGTTCTACTATTTCAACTGTCACAACTTTTTCCCTATGCAGTCGACTTCACTTCGGTTGAGCAAAAAGACCCTTAATCAAGCCAGGGACCGCTTACTTGCATTCCAAGAGGAAAAAATGGAAGCGAACGAGGATATGAAGCCAATCATTATCAGGGAAAATGTATCACTCGAAGCCTACACCAAATATCGTGAAATTGAGCGAAAGCTCCCTGTTAGCATTCGTTCAGTTGAAGGAAAAATTATAGCTCACGAAGTACCTCTCACGTCCCATGGATTGGTAGTGAACAGAATTGGATTCTTGATATATGCCTGGAATATTCAATTACGTGGCGCAAATAAAGAGGATATTATTGTGGGACCGAATAGTTACTATACTACTGATCTTACCATCCGACCACGAGGACTTCCTAGACCTTCACCTGGCCAGGGATCTAACTCAGAAGGGAGACCATATCCAACACTGGTTGTTGAAGTTGGCGACTGCGAGTCTGTTCCTAGCTTACATGATCTCTCGACAGGTTACTTTTCTCCACGAACAACTATTTAAATTTATCTTGCGATCAAAATGTTTCCCATTCGTCAAGATAGTACAAGGGCGATGCTTGCACTGCGCTACCTACGTACAAATCAAATTAATACGGTGCCGGACATCATCATATCTTTTGGTATAGCGCCTCTCCATCATAATACAATAGAGTTTCTTACAAATATTGATGCTCCACTTGCTAACATCGTTGGAGTCGGGGTTTCAACAACTGCATGCAATTCCTCTGGTATTCCGATTTATCAATTACATATTCCTGCCACTGAACTTTTTAATGGTGTCTTTGGGGGCATCCCTGCTGGGGCAGTTGTTGGGTTTTATTTGGATTTATGGGAATTGCAAAATATAATACTGAATTATTTTTAGCAGGAATGATTATACAAGGATCAAACCTTTACGAATTCTCTTTGCATAGTTCTTTCTTGAGTTGATCCTTCTTTAACTTTTGAAATTATTGAGATCGTCTCTACAAGATATTTTTTGTGCTACCTAGCTTATATAAGATAATTTACTAAACAAATTCATTTTTTATTTCATTGATCATATGACCAATACAATAAAATAAATCCTGAAATCTTTATTAATAAAAAATTTACTCTGTTTACTTTCTAATGATCATATAGTGATATCTCAAATAGTGGGTGTCGTACATCTCTATCTCTGGAAAATTAAATCATATGTTTGTAATACATCCGAAATAGATTTTACATCCAAAATAGATCTCCATGTTGACCCACACTTGAAATAGATTACACATGTTAAATATTAATAAATAAATGCGCTTCTTATATAAAGTAATGTTGAGCACTCAATCCAAATCTATCCGTTGAAGGAATTAAATTCCAAGCTTGTATCCAAGCAGTTAGTTACCTGTGATCATGTACCTAGTGATAATACCAACAATTTGTCATCCGAAGATAAGAAAATGAATGCTTTCTTGAATGAGTTGCATAAGAAAAAGGTTAGTGACGTAAATAAGCAGTGAAATTGGGAAAAGGAACTTCAAGCTCAAGCAACATCCAAAGTTTCGGCTACAAATATTTCAGAATCCTCTCATTCAGATAATAATAAAATTATTTTCCAAGATGAAACTGGTAAGATACATAAGAAAATAGGTGTAGAGTATAAAAAAGATAAGGAATTAGACAAGCTTAAACATAAATTGTTTATCGCGGAAATATTACATGAGCTATCAATAGAATAAAATCTTATAAATGAAACTTTTGAGACATTATGTCCTGGAAAAATTATTTCTGATAACATATCTAGCATTAATAAAGCCTTACAACATTTAGCTTAATTATGTAATAAAACTTTTGATGCTGAAAATAAAGCAAATCAAGCTAATTAGAAAAAAATTTTATATTAGTGTTTTTATACAAAGGATTTTAGAGTTCAGTTCAATAGAATTATAGAAAATAGTAAAGTTAAATTTGATGAAAAGAAGACAAGAAGTTTGTTGTATGATTCAATTATAAAATAGCTTAATTTGATTTGCAAACAAAGATTTTACAAATTAGGATTACAACTTCAAGATATACAGTGTGAGTCAAAATTATTGGAAAATCACTGCAGCGAGATCTGTATAAATTAAACTAACCAAACTCAGACA